GGGCCCCGGCCCGCAGGGGCTCTTCTCCCGGACTCACCTCTGAGCCTGCGGCCCGGCGCCGGACGGGTGCCCGCGAGGCGGGGCGGGCGGAACAACTCTCGGGCTCCTCCACCGCCTGCCGCAGAGCCGTGATTCTCTCTTCTGCTTACTGTAGAGTTGAGGACGGCCGTCCTGGTGAAGATGCCTCCCAGCTGTTAAGCTCTCGGCTCCTTGCACTAGACTAGTCGTGTCGTCCTCTCCGGAATGGGTGTGCATGTGCTCGTCTAGAAGTGCCGCTGCTTCTCGCTCCTCGCCTGCAGGCCTCCTCCTGGCCGCGGCCCCACGCGTGGCCCCGACCTGGGTGGCCTCCGCGCGTCAGAGACGCGAGCGTGGACGCTCAGGCCCTCCCTGCCCCGAGAACTGGGACGTGCGCACCCCCCGCCGCGGCCCGGGGCCCCGAGGCACCAGGGAAGCGCGGGGGCCGCCTCCCCTCCAGGTCTCCGCTCAGTTCAGCCGCGGCCTCGGAGTGGGGCCGCAGGGGATGCTTTAGAGCCTAGAAGATGCTGTGTGTTCTGTCTTAGGGTCCCCCACGTATCGTGGAAGATACTGCGGTTTGTGACTTTCTTGCTAACTGAAGAAGCCAGGGCCTTGGGGTGTGGGGAAGTAGACGGAGAGCGCCCCCACCGCGTGCCGAGGGCGCAGTCACTTTGGCAGCCAGACACCTGCGAGGCTCTCTGTGGCCAGTCTTCTGGTACGTGGTGAGGTCCTCCGTTGCAAGTGGGGACTTTCTGGTGACTCAGAGAATGGGAGCCCCCAGAGCGCAAAATTGTGAGCACTTGCCCGCCACTGCCCGCCCCAGGACACCTCGGCTGCTGCAGCTGGCCCCTCGTGCCGCGGCCGACATAGCTGAGGTCACGTTCTGTGGGAGAGTGGGAAGTTCGCGCGTGGCGGGCTGGGGGCAGGCAGCGCAAGGCCCCAGATTGCCGCCTGGCCTGGGCGCCAGGGCGGCTCTCCGGGCTGGAGGAGCGAGACTGGCAGACCTACGCATTTTGCCTTTGTTTTTAACCGGCTGTTTGCAGGGTGCTGGTGTGTGCGGCGGCTCGGCTAGTTGGCAGCAGCGGGGACCGCGGCTCCGGCCCGGCCCTCCCCCGGCTCTGGCAG